GCCTCCTGTCAGGCCCGCGCTAGCCCATCTGGAGTATTAAGTAGTTGCCGTGGCTCTTAAACGTGACTTTTTCCAGGTTTTTAGTCTTCTAGTACGGTTTGCATGAAAATGTAGCTGTCCCTTAAACCTGGCTCGGTTACGCTGGAAACTAACAACACCTGCAAGAAGTTTTTTTTTCTTTTTTGCATGTGGAAGAATTGCTTCCAAGGAGACTTCTAGCCAAGAGTTCTTCTAGCCAACTCTGCGAAGTTTCTCATCAGGCATATGGGTGCCTAAAAATTTGGGGTTAGGAAAGGAGATTATATCTTTGAAAGGGTCCCAGTGACTTTGGGATTTTCCTACTGGAACTCTTGAGGACTGGTGGGTGGCAGGGTGCCTACAGGTTAGGCAAACAGGACAGCGAAAGATGTACAGGATTAGAGTAGGCAGTTGGTAGGACAGTTATGTGACATCTAACTCTGGACCAAGAAGAGATTCGAGACAAGTTTTTGATAGTGTTTTAAAAATTCCTCCTTTGCTGCGATGCCAGTGATGTAACATAAGAAAAATGTTTAAAATGGTGCAATATTACAACTCTCTCTAAAGAAAAATAGTTGTCAGAGATGCACGTTAGTAAGCCTGTTCATACTCAGTGCAATATTGATAAAGTGTCAGTGGTTAGAGGCCTGAATCACACTGAGGACCACTTGAGGCACAGCTGAGCTTTGTTCATGCATGCAAGGTTTTGGAAGCAAGAGGAGCAGTTTCATTAAATTGAGTCTGAGCGCTTAATTTAGTGTAGCCTGGGAGGAACTGAATGTTCCCCTGTTGTGGTCCTGCTTTGGTGTTATCATGTCCTCACTAAGAACCTGTATTTCTTCAAGTATGCGAGCTGAAGAGGGGGGTTTGCATTGATCGTTTGTCCTGAAATGCTGTAGACTTTCTTTCCTGCTTGGAACTACTTGCAAGAAAGCGTGTGTGTTTTTGAGAAGGAATTATCTGAAGGGTGCTGCACAATAGACAGAATTTCTGATTGCTTTCTTGTTTCAAAAGAGGCCAGTTTCAGTCACCATTAAAAAACAACTCTAGTTGTAATCTCATTTTTGAGATTAATGAACTAGTTCAGGCTTTAAGCATCACTTAATCAGTGTTTCAGGGGCGATTGTGTGACTAGGCAGGTGAGGTAGTTCCACTGTGATCTGCATAAAAACCTTTAATGCCGGTCTTTCAGAATGGGAAAGCTCAAAAATGAGAGGAAAAAGCATAGTGTTAGATATTTTAGATTAATTGGCAATTACATCTTTGCATTTTGTTATACTGTGACTGCTGCTACCAAATAGAACTGCAGTTTATAACTTCTTTACTAATGAATAAATGTGAAAAAAAAATCAGACAAGTTCAATAGGTGTTCATCCTGAAATACAGGTAAAAATATGTCTTTATTTTGTGCTATTTTTTCCCAGCCTAGTAATCCGTGGTGAAAAGGATGAACAAGCAGTGTTGTGCAGCAAAGATAAAACTTACGACATGAAAATAGCAGATACCTCAAATATGCTGCTGTTTATTCCTGATTGCAAAACTCCAGAACAGTTGAATGCAGATCAAGAATCTTGTAATATTATTCATTCGCAGGTATGTCTTTCTGGGTTTTTGTTTGCTTTAATTCTCTACTTTCTTATTCTCTATAATTTCTTGTATTTTATCCAAGATGCATATGTGAAACTTGGCTGGGATTCAGTTGCCTAAACATAGACTTCTAGTGCCATTTTAGATGCCTTGTGGTATTGGTCTAGCTATGAGCTCCCGCTGCAGAAGGACATGAGTCTCCTGTAGGTTCTTTGTGTATTGAAGGAGAAATGGTTGGGTCAGGAGTCATGAACTTGGAGCCTCTTCTGCCTCTGTCATTCTGTACCCGCTTCTGTTGGTTTGGTAAAGAGCAGAATCAATGCTGGAAGGCCTCAATGCTCTGTCCTCTGCAAAGAATCTTCTAGGAAGTCCAAGCTGTACCCTATGAAACACCTTCAGAGTAATCCTGAGGCAAAGTTTTATTAGATTGGTGTTGTTGAATTGAGCTTCTTGTTGCACGCTTTAAATTTATGTGTCGAATCAGAGTAAGGCACAGAGATGTCTTGTTGTGCGCAAGTGTAGCTTGCTGTCTCGTTAATGTCTCTTTTACTTGAGCTTAGTGATACGATGATTCGTTAAGGTGTAAAGAGACTATGAAGTGGATCCCAAGCATGGGAAGAAGTGGAGAAGATGGAGACAGGAAGAGTTTTATACAAGTAATATAACAATATTAAGAGGAAAAGAAATGTCGATGGGGATTGTGCAGGAATACATCCCATGATGATATTCTGTTACTTGCATGTAGAGATGAGTTGTTCCCTTTGTCATATGCACTGTGAACATATTTTATCAACCAACGGTGAATTTTTATTCTTCCCTGCCTGTGGTAATGTTCTTTTTATTGAAAATATTAGAATGATTGTTTCATCTTTAAAGTAATTACTCTATTAATAAATTCTTGTTCTAAGTGACTGATTAACGCTGCTGATAATTTTTGGTAAGCTTCTTTGAATCCAAGTGGTAGATTAAAATGTTTTAAGAGTCGCTTTTTTCTTGTAGATTGCTGGCTTCTCCAATAACTATTGGGAATTAAGGAGATGTCGACCGAAACTGAAGAAACTGAGGAAGCTTTTAATGGAAGATCCATATGAAGGGCCAGATAGTCAGAAAGACCAGAGTTTGACATTTCCGAAGGTAAATCAGCTACGTAAATTACTTTCTTGTGATTGGTAATGGGCAAATTAAAGTGAAGATACGTTTTCACTAGAAAAATACATTTACACCCTGTTTCTCAGTGCTGCTTTGGGTTAATTCTTTAAGCCTGCTATTCTAAACAAGTTGGTAATTATTCAGACTGTTTCATGTATCGGCCTACTGGAGAACGACTAGGTACATCTGATAAATATAGATGAATCTTAGCTATGCTACTGATGGAACTTTAGTCTGAAAGCTCTCCCTGGGAAAGCTCTCTTTCTTATGACACTAATTCTCACTGGAATTCCAAACAATATGTGTGTAGTAAAAATTTTTGCTATGTTGTTTGGTTACACGTAATATTTATTGGATGCTGGCAACAAATAAGCCATCTTTAATCTGTTTGAAAATAGATTACTATGTGTTGGTGGCTTGCTGTAGACTTGTCACAGTTTTCAGTTGTTAGTACTGTGTAATACCCAGAGAACTACAGGAAAGGAACCATAAGGAGCTATAGCACTATAAGGAATTTCTGTAATGAAGCCTGATGCGTAGTGATGTGATTTAGCAAATGACAGGAAAACTTAAAAACAGGCTAGTAGACAGCTTGCTCAAGATGCACCAAATTAAAATCCTGGATTTTACAGTGAGATGGCAAGGCATATTCAAATGGTTGAATGTATCTGAGTTAACGTATTTAGTATGTTCCTTATCCTTATCTGGAAATTGCTGATATGGGCATGATGCAAGTCAGCCCATTCTGTTTTATGTTTGCAAGGGTGACACAGCTGATAGAAGCATCATAGTTCAGAGCAGTTATTGCTTAAAAAAGCTGTTAGAGTGCTAGCCAGGCCTCTGAGGGACAACAAACACCAAGGACTCCTGTGCAGGGTCTTATCTGAATGGCAGCATCCAACTTGCAAACACACGTGCGTACTGATCTGGGGATATGTTTGCTCTGAATTGCTTGCAGTGTTTTTTAAAGTACTGTACGATATGGTCATCCCTTGCTGAAATACTGATGTGAGTTCAGTGTTGCTTCGCCTGGTGATGCTGTCTAATAGGAATGGCAGAGGAGAGTTTTCTGTACTTATTAAATGCTTTTTTAACATGTGGATGTTCCAAACTTAGTGTTGGTTCGTTCCATTTGTGTTCCTATAGTCTAATAGAACCCAAGTACTTAATCCATTTTTTTTTTCTTTTCTGATAGAAAATACACTTACATTATAATCAACAAAACTCTAATATTAGAGTTGATTAAAAAGGCTGTAAGGTGAATAAAGGAATGGATGAAGCCCTGTGGATTTAAGTCTAGTGTTCCCTCCCTTTACTTCACTCCTCATGACACCTTCTGTTCTTCCCATGTCTCCTAAATTTTTACCACAGCATCCACATCACCCTTCTATCTCACCAAGTAACTGTTCTGCAAGAAGCTGTATGTACAGTGGCTGGATCTGTGCTACATGTCTGCTCGTTGTTTAGCAGACACCAAAACACAACACATAACTGTTGAGGTCATGCTGCAGGAGGTTTTCCCTCAGTGGAGGTACTAAGTTGGAGTTCTGACTTATCCGAAAGTGATAAGTGATTTTTGTTTTGCCTTTTCGCTGAATCTCATAGATCAAAATATGTGATTTGGGAAGGACAGAACACATTCACTTTTCATTCTTGCTGTGATACTTGACTTACGATGCCTCCCTGTGCTGGTTTGGCATCGTGGGAATACAGGTATATTACTTATGCATGGCACAAAGACTTCCCTGTAATTAGACTGGCTTTTACATTGAATAACCCTTTGAGAAAATGTTGTAAGTTACAGAAAAAGTTTCAGAGAGTGTGGTAAACCTTAGAAAATTTAGAGTCTGGGGAAAAAAGGTATCAATCTTTGTTTCTTCAAAGTCTTTCTTTCATTACATCTTATAATGCATTTAGCATTAGCACGCTTGCTTGAAGCAAAGGAGCAGTAAGGATAACCCCTGGTTTATTTCCTTCTTTTTTTCCCTTGTTGCAGTATACAACAGAAGATTTGTTAAGTCTGATTCAAGCAAGCGAAGAAGAAATACTGCACCAATTGCAGATTATAAATGCCTGCAAAATTGAAGGTATTCATCTCTAAAGAATATTATTGCCTATGAGGAAATAACCTAGCTTTTTTATTTTCCCCAAGATATCTGCGTCTTCTTTTTCTGAGGCCCATTCCACATCGTCGTTACTTCAAAGTGCAAGTTACTTCAAAATTCTAAGATCTGGTTCCATATTTCCTATATCCTCTGCTTCTATGAAGCTGATCAAAAAGATAAAACCAAGCAGGCATCAACCAGTCTGACACTTTTCAGGGTGATTACTTCTTTGCTTCTACAAACGCTGACATCAGAGTATCCCACCCATAGCATGGATGTATTTTGGCTGGTTGCCCTCTTAGTGGATGAGTGGATACTGGTTTCTGTACTTCTAGAGGCAAAAATAGCTGATCCTTATGTAACCTCAGCCTTTTCATAGTCCTTTCTTCCTCCCAGACTGAGTTTATCTCAGAAGTCATCCTATGATGTGAGGCAGGCTGGAGTGTCTCACCTTGGGACAGGTCCTACTCATCCTTTACTTGGCCAAGTCCAAACCGTCACCTGGACGCCAGGTGACAGTAGTCCTGGAGTCATAGAATAATGTAGGGCAGAACTGAGCTCTGGAGGTTATCAGATCCAAACTCCTGCTTTAGAGCAGGGCGAACTTGGAGCTGGCTGCTCAGGGCCTCAGCTGGTCGAGTTCTGAGCATTTCCAAGGATGGAGATTGTACAACGTCTTTCCAGGCTGTTCCAGTATTTGACTGTCTGCAAGGAGAAAAAAATTCTAATACCCAGCTGGGACTTCCCTTGTTGCAACTTGTACTTGTTGCCTTCTGTGCCACCAGTGAGCACCACTGGGAAGACTTCTGATCCATCTTCTCTATACTATCCCATTAGGTAGGTGAGGACAATCTCACAGATGACTTTCCTTGTCACTTACAGCTGCACAGCACCATTGTATAAGTTCTGTGCTTTGTCATATCTGGATTTCTGTGAGCATGGCTGGACCTGAACTGCCACTTTGCAGGGCCAGTGCAGCCAGTTCTGTTCATGCAGTTCTGTGTCTGAATTATTATTTTTTCCAGGTCCGATTCACCTTGGGGTAGGATTTGTAGTGTCTTTGTGTCCGTGGCAGCTAATCTACATAAACAGTTGTGAATAATTGAGATGATTTAGTGTCTTTCTCCTTTGCGTTTGCTCGTACTATTCTGTTCTTTTCCTCAGCTTTAATCCTGAAAAGGACAGAATGCTGTTGCTCTGCTTTGTAAAGCTGTTATCTAAATATCCAGACTTCTGTAGTGTGTCTTCAGGGGAGTAGAACTAAGGTGTTAATGTTTTCCTTCTAACACTGTTTTGTGATTTTTCTATTTGGCAGGATTTTGGAGAATTCTAGAATTTGACTATGAGACGAAGCTCTTGAATCACGTGACTCAGCTAATAGACTCAGAGTCCTGGTCTTTAAGCAAGGTTCCTTTACGTACCTGCCTGGAGGAACTTGGACCTCTAGAGCCCACGTAAGCAATTACTTTTAATCATTATCAACTACTGCTAATTGCAATCTTTATTAATTATTTATTAGAATTATAGTCTTGAAACTCTACGTTCCAGGTACCATTGTGTTAATGATATATTTTTCTTTGGCTCTAAAATGTACAAGTGCGTTAGTAGTTTTGACAGACAGGTTAGTAAATGATTTTATTGTCTCCTGGTAATAATTCCATTGATTCAATGGTAGAAACATTACTGCTGAAGTGTAAATGATGGAAGTAGCAGGTACATAAGCCATAAATTGCTGACCATCTTGAAATACTCGTTCTGAACCTACTGAAAATGTTTAGCTTACTTCTTGTGTAGTGTCTGAGATGCTGGTCTATTTTCTTGTATAATACTGAATTCACATGTTAGAGTTGAGTTTATTGTACTGCCCTTTAGAATTATCAACTAATTTAAGATTACTATTCAAACAAAGTCTTAAGTTTACAATATGTAGCATTTTGCATTTATTTGGCTTTAGGCTCAAAAAGAAATCTTGCTGTAGTATTAGTGTCTGCAGTTAGGTTGTAGTTTTATGCCAGGGGTCTAGAAAAATGCCTGCTATTCACTAAGGGATAATTAACTGCCAAATTTGTGACTTGTGTCACTTCTTATTGGAAAGAAGTGACATGGCAAGAGTCTCTTTTCCTGATTCTCCTTATGCCTTTTAGTCTTTGCTTGTTTTAACTAGGAAGTGGAAGAGACTTTTGGTGATGACATGCTGAATTAACTCCCATCTGTCCTTTTTGTCCCCTTTTGTCCTCTTTTAACTTAACTTCTATCAATCTGTTCGTTTCAGCCATGAAGACGTGTCCCATACTGTATTACTCTTGATTTTCTACTTTACATGTTCCTTCATCATCTTCTTGGTAACTTTGTCTGTGATGTCCTAATGAACAGTTTTAAACCTTGATTTCTGTGTGGTTTTTTTGTTTTTCAGAGAGATGATAGAACATATTCTTTTAAGCTATGGAAGGAAATACATTGATGATGGTAAGTCTGGGAAAGCACGCATATTTTAATTTTGCATATAGGAAATAGTTATTCATGAGTAAAAGCAGTTTTTGTGAGGATGGCCCAAACAAACAAATTTGCTACAATGCCAGTAAAAGGAGGTAGCAAACAGTGAGCTAAAAATCAGTAAAATTTTAGAGAAAGTTTCAAAAGTTTCACCGGAAAAAGTAATGTTACGATGTATGTAATGTTACAAGGCACTAGGGAAAAATAAGGAACTATCAGAGGTAGCTGAAGTGCTTTATTAGATGTCTACAAGCCATAATTTTGTGACTAAAGACAGATCACTTGTAAAATTTAGATGGAATCTCTTTTTAGAAACCCTGGAAGTCGGATATCATGTGTTAAAGCAATTAATTGTGCTCTTGTGAATAATCAGTGACGTGTAGATCTCTGTGAATTCAGCCTGCCTGAAGTAGACGTCTGCCTTTGTTCCCCTGAACTGCACCGCAAGATCCATTGATTGTATTGATTAAATCTCCATTGCTCATCTCACATACAGACATAATATTTCAGTGCCCTAATCCAATATGAATTCTTTCCCACAGTTGTTTTCATCTCACCTTTGGCTGAAGTAGCAGTTGCACTCAACCTTAAAGGACACAGTAAAGTAGTTGGACTGACACAGATTATTTTCTTAGCATGTTTAGGCAGGTTGCACAAGGAACAAGTTTGAATTGCAGGAAGTCCAGAGGGCTGAAAATGTGGAAGGAAGTGTTTATGCCTAAAATTCAGAGGATTTTAGCCAAATCAGTGTGACAGAAAATAAATTCTCGTTATTCCCTTCACCATCTCATAAGGATGACTATGGAAGTGAAAGTTGTGTTTAATTGTTAAACTGCAGACAACACTTTGAAAAACAAGCCATTCAGAAATAGGAATGAATAGTGTTACTGTGAAAGGGGAAAAGATGGGAGGCAAGTACATTTATTGATATGAATGAATACTGTAGCTCAGACAGTGCTGCACACACACATATTATTCTGTTTAATTTGTTCTTGAGAATGAGAAGAAACCATCATTTATCCAAAGTAATACCAAGTTAGGTTACTCCCTGAGGAAAAGAAAAAAAAGGATACTTGATTTGTAGAAGACTGTAGAACAGAGCAGAAATACAAGGTTGTTCTCTGTTCTTTTATCAAAAAGTAAAACCCAAGATATAATGTGGGTTGTTTTTTTTCTCAACAGGGGAGGTTTACTTTGAAATGCATGAGGATAAAATATGCAGAGCTATAGCACAAATGCTTTTGCAAAATGCTGTTAAATTCAATCTGTCAGAGTTTCAAGAAGTCTGGCAACAAAGTGTCCCTGAAGGGATGACAACGCGGCTTGATCAGCTTCAGGTAAAAACACAAAGTGTGAATTCTTTCATGAGTAGATTGTTGACGGACTTGTATCACATATAGATTTTATCAATTAATGGGTATCGATTGTGTTATTTCTGTCAGCTTTTGAGTTGAAGTGTTGCTTAAGACATCCTCTGAGCATCAGTAGTCTGGAATCATGGCAATCCAGATTTCTGGCAGTCTGGCATGTTTCACTGCTTGAAGAAAAGTTGCAGCTGTACAGTTAATGCTTGTAACTAGAACAGGCGCTGAAGCTATTGCCGAGCAGGCTGTAGTGACAGGCAGTAGAGTAGCAAGCACTATGAAAATCCTTTTGCTCAAAGGAGGCAGAGAGATGTTGGAACTCAATGGATTTCCCCCTCCGTTCTTGTCATAAAGAAAATGATAAATACTGCCTGTAAAACAGCACCTTTATGATATACTTTTTCACTTCGCCTCTAGCAGTGCAGTTTTAGAAGGCTTTGGGGGAGCAAAGGGCAACTGGTAAGGATTATTGCCAGAAAGAAGAAAATTTAATTCTTTTGTCTTTACTTAACGTTTTCTCTCTGATGCTGATCTACAGGGCTTGGCTCTTGTGGATAAAAGCTCAAGACCAGAGACCATCTTTCTGCTGAAAGTAGAAGACTTACCTGAAGACAATCAGGAAAGATTCAACAGCTTATTCAGCATACGGGAAAAGTGGACAGAAGTGGATATCACCCCTTATATACAGTAAGGATATTTTTTGTTTTATTAAAATATAAGCAGTGTTATATTTTTCCCTTTTTGCGTAGCTGGCTTCTTATCAGCTATGATTGCCTCAAATACTGTAGTTTCCATTTCAAATGAATACAGCTTCTATATGAATAGAATCCCCACCCCTGAGAACTGTAGCTATATTCATTGGATTTAAACTTGCGGAAAAAGCTGATCCTACTAAATTTAAATGGGTGATAACTCTGTCTTACTTGATTGAGGTAGATTTAACTCAAAGGCTAGACCTTCTGACATTTATAGTCAGTCTCCATATTTACAACACAAGAACTGTAGAGCAATAGTGCTTCCTGTACTGCATCCTTGGGTTTTTTGGTGGTTAACACTTACACCGCAGTGCTGTGTGGGAGGCCCAGCCAGGATACACATGAGCAGGTGTAGATGGTAACCCAGAAGTAACTGCATCAAACCTGTATGAGTGTCTCTAAATTTACTGTAATATTATTAAGTAGTTGTCCTGGTTTCGCTGGGATAGAATCACAGAATTGGTTTTCTGTTCAGAAAAGCCGTGTTTCTAAAGTAATGACGTAAGTTTCTAAAGTAATTTTTAAGACGGCTGCAGCACACGATTCGGTGAAAACAAAAGTTGATAAGACACTTTGTTTTAATTCGTAGCCAGCGGTGCGCTGCAGGTATCCATAGTGATCAAGGTCTTTCTAACTTGTTTTTTGCTAACGACCCAGACGTCCGAGAACCTGGGGGGAGCGTGGCCAGGGTGACTGACACCTAAATTGGCAAATGGGTATTCTGTACCATGTAGCGTTATGCTCACTGTAAACTGGAAAGTTTGTTGGGAATAGGCACTCTTTCTCAATGGTCACTGTCCCTGGAAGGTCTGGCCCATCATTCTGCTCCCAAGGCCAATTTTCTTTCTCTACTGGGATTGCAGTTTTGGGATTTTCCTGCTCTGGTATTGCTAGCCAGGAATGGGCTGGACATTGGTCAAGGGATGGTGAAAAACTGCACCGTACATCACTTGTCCATATATATTTACTATCATTATTATTTTTCATTTTATTTTGTTTCAATTATTAAGTAGTTCTTATCTCAACCCATGGGTTGTCTTTCCTTTTCCCGATTCCCATTCTTGAGTGGGGAGGGGTCATTGGATAATAGAACAGCTGGATAGTGTTTAGCTGTGGATACAGGCTAAACGTAGACAGTAGTTTGAAGCTGACTGTTTTGCTAGATTGATAACCTTTTAGAGAACAGCAATAATAAAAAACAACCAGCCCCCCTAAACCCCAAAATCCTTGTTTTAGAAGTAAATCAGAGTCATTTAGGTCAGAAAAGACCTTAAAGACTATAAAGTCCGACCATTAACCTAACACTGCCAAGTCCACCACTAAACCATGTCCTCAAGCACCACATCTACATGTCTTTTAAATACCTCCAGGGATGGTGACTGAGCAGCCTGTTCCAATGCTTGACAACCCTTTACGTGAAAAAACTTTTCCTGATATCCAATCTAAACCTCCACTTGTGCAACTTGTGGCCATTTCCTCTCATGCTATATAATAATGTATAAAATAATGTGATTTTGCCTGTTGCTTAAATGTCAAGCCGTGTTCTAAACTTTAGGTAATTTAAAGTATTATGTGACAGTTACAGTAGTTTGTTGGGATTTTTTTCTCCCAATACTCTAATCCAGTTTATTGGTATATTTACAAATATTTCACGGATTAATTTTGTACAAGAATATCTCTAATGCTGATGTCATCTGCTTTATTTCCTCTGTAGAGACTTATGTGCCGAGAAGCAGACAGTCGGTGCTCTTCTGACAAAATACGCTCGCTCCTCAATGCAGAATGGCGTTAAAGTTTATAATTCTAGAAGACCCATCTCATAACGAGTGTTGTTTTAAGAACGGAGAATACTGAATGGAGTAATGCTGAATGTTGCTGCTTCCTGCCTTCTGGGGAAAGGAGTCATCAACTGATACTATACATTGGTTTTGAGTTTGAGCAACTAAGCTTCTTGAACGAATTTTGTTTTCTGCTTAGCTAAGTAGAATGTGAGGGCACTTGCCTCTTCTAAGAAACCATAGTGCCAGCAGCCCATGCCCACCTTCCTGTGCCCGTTTTCCTTTGTCTCTGTAGTTACGCCAGGAGTTAAGCTACTTCTTGAATACGCTTTAGCTGTCTAACCATAAACTGAAACATGAAAACTGACATGAAAAATTAAAACCTGCTTGATAATAATCGAATCAATTGAATTGATTTCAACAGCGAAATGGAACGCTTCGTCTTTTGCCCATTAGCAAGTATTTATAATGATTAAGATTTTGTTGCAGTGTTGACATTTTGAATACTGCAGACCTTGACAAGCTCCTGAACAAATTATTCCTGACTGAGACTGCGCTAGTCTTAATTTTGGAAGGAGGTTCTCTTAATGGTCATGTCTGTGGATAGCATCGGCACAAGCTCGTGACACTTCAACACTTGGCAGAATTGCCTTTTAAATATTACAAAAAACCAAATTGCAATCAAGTGTGAAGGTAGGAGAGAATAGTTGGACATTGTGTTATGAACTGCCTATAAACTGCCATTAGAATGTAACTGAGATAAAATTAATGTTTTACAGAAGATTTTTACCTTTGCTTTTTAAAGAGAACTTAAAAAACTTTGTAATATGATTTATATATTTATTTTTTTTTTAGAACTTTGTTATGGTAAATAACTGCACATAGAATTTGTGCCTTGAAATCTTAGGGTGGAATATTATTCTGTGTAGAACAATGAAACAAGATTATTTTCTTAATGATATTTTCATAAAGTGGAGTGCCTGAAATTGAAATTTTGTAATCATTGAAAAAGATTGTGCTCATATCAGTGAACCAGAGTTTAATATTAGATATTTTTCAGATTATTTTTTTTTAACCTGAACAGTCGTAGGCTTTTATATAAAAGGCATTTGCTGCATCTAATTGCTAGCGTGCCACATGTAGGGTGAGCGGGGAGAGGAAAGAAACTATATATCAAATGTAACTCTTAAAATGGATGTCTGCATCCCTGGAATTTTGTTATGGATAAAAGCTGAATAAAACCTACTTCCTGAGCCCTGCTTAGTCTTCCCCACTGATGCAAGATCAATTCCCTGTGCTCCGCGTTCCTGAAATGTACGAGTGTGGTGTCTGACCCAGTTGTGTAGAGACTCAGCTGGCTCATAGAGGCTCTCTGCCGGGAAGAATTGCCTTGTTCGCTGTCTGGTTTCAACAGCTGTGGTCCTTTTAATAGCACCAGAAGGCTCCCTCTCGGAGAAATCAACAGTAATATGTGAAAGCCTTGGGAATAACTTCCGTTGCATCACATAAGGTTCCTTATTTGAAGGACACAAGAGAATTAACAGTCTTGTAGTCTGTGATACAACAGGGTATATTTACATTGGGTTTTGTTTGTGAAACAGGTAAGATTTTAAGCATTATGTGAGTAGAGCTGTATCAGAATTCCAAGGTAATGATTCAGGTTTGTCTAAATTATTTTCCATGTGTAATCATTCTACATGTTCGCAGTGCTTCTGCTGTGTTTTGTCACACATTCAAAATGAGATGCTGCTTTCTAAATTTCAAGAATTGCTGATGGTGAAAGGGCTAACTCCATCCACTGCTTTGATGCAAGCATTTATTTTAACGTAAAATAGATGACTCAAAACTTGCTTGTAATAGAACAAATCTTGGTTTTGAAGAAACTTCGTATTGTGTCCTCCCGATACTGTAATAAAGACACTCCCGGGCACACTCGGGGTGGGAGGGATGAGGTCAGGGGACCCAGTTCATTTGGTGGCTGTGCCACGTTTCCAGCAGCATTGTTACTGTCTTTAATCCTTTTTCGATTCAGAAGAGAAGACTGATCATAGAATCATAGAATCGTTAGGGCT